TGTTAGCTCTGGCACACTGGCGCATGTCCCTTGCAGACGTTCACGAGCAGCGCGTGCCGCGCGCGCACAAGCAATGACATGCACACGCGCGGACACACTCACGCGTGTAGATGCATGCGTGCTCACCTCCGCACACAATGCCTGCTCAAAACCCACCCGCAATCGTGGCGCACTGGCCCCTGCTTTCTTTCACTCAAAAAGCGTGCATACAATTCACACGCACCCACACCCACACACCTCCCTACACACACACCCATGTGTGTATTAGCCGCACCTGTGCATCGTGGTGCACCCAGAACGTGTCCGCCGTCAGACTGATGTCCACCCGCTGCTTCAGCAGCGGCATAGCCACCACCCCCGCCCGCGCCGCCGCGCCCGCCGGCCCCGCGCCCGCGCGGCCGGAGCCGGGCGCGTGCCAGGGGCTGGAGGGGGGGCCAAACCAGGGCTTGAGGCGGCGCGAGAGGCGGACCGTGGCGGAGGGCAGCGCCAGCACCTCCACCATGTCTAGGATGTATTTGACCTGGGGAGGTTGGTGTTGTTTTTAGGGGCGGGATCTGAAATGTGTGAGTATGCCTGAGGGGTTTCAGGGTCCAAACCAGGGGACTAATGCTAGTGAGTTGCGTGCTGTGAGGTCGAGTTTCGGGTTGCCACCCTTGTCTATCTGCGCCTTCACGTGAGCAAGTGCGAGGTAGCGGACGCCCAAGCTAGGGATGGCAGCATCTGCCGGTCGGATGGCTGCAGCGCGCTTGCGGCCGCCGCGAAAATCCTCGCCCTGCGCGGCGCACCTGGAACTCGCCCATGTAGACGTGGGGCACCCTCAGGGGGCGGAAGAAGCGGCCAGCGCCGTGCTGCCTGCAGTCGGAGGATGCAGAGGAGCGGGGCCGGGTGCATGGCCCTGGATGAGGGCAGCCGCCGGGGGCTGACGGATGGTAGCAACACTTTGCATCATACAGCAGGGCACCACGCGGGCATGGCTGGGAGAGGCCGCACAGAGGACGTGTCCTCGGTGACCGGCGCCCTTCCGTCACAAACAATTCATGCCCTCAGCAGCAGGAGCAGCACCATCAGCAACAGCAGCGGCGGCGGCGGCGGCAGCAGCAGCAGCAGCAGCAGCAGCAGCAGCAGCAGCAGCAGCAGCAGCAGCAGCAGCGACAGCAGCAGCACTAGCAATCCCAACTCCTTCACGCCCCAATCCCTCGCGCCAACTCAGACTCACAACCCACCTTGCCATCGGCGACCCCACAGGTGACCCCGCCCCGCCCCCTCCGCCC